GCTCGGGGCGGTGAGAGCGGTGAGAGCGGTGGGGGCGGTGGGGGCGGTGGGGGCGGTGGGGGCGGTGGGGGTGGTGGGGGTGGACGGGGCGGTGGGGGCGGTGGGGGCGGTGGGAGTGGTGGGGGTCGTGCGGGGAGGCGCGGGCACGCTAAGCGGAATAAGCAGGGGCTAGCAGCCTTAGCAGTGGGTGTCCACGAGGAAACCTTCGGGGGAATCACGGGCGCCGCCCCGAAAGCGGGGTCGGCGGATAATATTAACTACCCAAAACTATGTTCTAGTTCTTCAGGCCCCCAGATGAGAGTTGCTGAGTTTAGGGTTCATGCTTTCGGATTTGGTCTTGGGGGTAGGTTTACGGGACGGGTTTTAGGGTTGGGGTTGAGGATTTGGGATTCTGGTTTCGGGATGTGAGTTTAGGGCGAATCTGCTCCACCCACAAGTTGCAAAATGATCGAGGTGTAGGGCTTCAAGGCTTGTTTGGGCACTGCTCTCAGCGCTTGGTACAGGGTGCTTCGTGTGAAGAGACATTAGGGTGGCGCCTTGAACTCTGAGCCCCAAGCCTCCAACCGTGAATCTTGAGTTCCCGAAGCTGTAACTCTTTGATACTACTGCACCATTAAGTCCGATGCACGTCGTAGGTAAAATCGAAGTGGGTATCATCGCTCATCTCAAAACCGATCCTAATGTTCATCCTCCTCCTCCTCCTCCTGCTCCTCCTCCTCCGGCGCTGCTTCGCCACCATCTGCAGCATCGCCCTTTCACGTTCATCATCGCCAAGATCATGATCTTCGGCATGTTAATGATGATGATGATGACGGCGACAATGAAGATCATTATCATCATCATCATCATCATCATCGTCATCGTTATCATCATCATCATCATCATCATCATCATCATCACTACTCTATCAGCATCAGGATTCGCATCTGCAAAGTGGTTGCTGCCTTTAGCTGTGAGCTGTGAGCACGAGACCGAGGGCAGATATCGGTGACGGCAGTGGGGAGACGGAGTGGACCGTGACCTGCTCGGGCACACAAGCCGCTTCGGCAACAAACCTAATTCGCCTAGCCCAAGCCCAGAAACAAACTGCTGGGATTCGAGTTTGTGGTCTGCCTAGAACTCTCACACTACTCCCGAAACCCCCAAACTATCCTAAACCCTAGACCCTAAACCTACATGCTAAATCCGAAGCAGCCGGAACACTGCACCGCACTCTCACGACACAGGGCCCACACTTAGAACACTCCCTTGATGTGCCTCAGGTCGTGCTGGTCGGCCTCACTATCGCGGGCAATCCAACGTATACCTTGAACATGTTCCTCAGTTCAAAACGGTGTTGCTTCGCCAGTTTCAAGCAGTCTAAGCTGCATGGCATCAGGGTTTCGGGTTGAAGGTTTCAGGGTTCGAGGATGAGGATTGCGATTGGGGTGTCAGGTGTTGGGCAAAGATTTAGGGGTTCAGTCACGACACAGAGGGTTCCAAGCCCATGGCCAGATGAAGGGGATGCAGGAGCAGTGCCTGTGGTGGGGGCAGCTTGGAAGCACATTGCCCCACGCAGCCGAATGTCCTGCCACACCTTGACTTCGAGGAAGAGCCTATCTACAAGCGTTGGCGACAAGGTTTGAATTGTCGCGGCGGTATGGCGGTGAGGTCTTGGAGCTGCTCGAGACCCACGCCGCAGTGGAGGCCGAGGTTGATACCAGTGGACTGGTGACAGAGGTAAGCTACGCGATCTTCGAGAGAGCGGCGGGCTACGTGGCCGATGAAGTCGTCATCAACCGTTGTGGAGAAATTTGGCTGATTTTGCTCTAGAGATGGCGGGAACATGGGTTCAGTCACATCTGGTCCGAGCTCTACGACCACGTCAGGCTTCAGAGCAGTCTACCGACTACGGAAGTTGAGCAGGCGGTGCCACTAAGATTTGATAGTCGTCAACCCTTCAGCTTGTTTCGGAAAGCATATGCCACATGGAAAGATGGAATCATGACCTTCCGCCATGCAGATTGAGATGCTTAAGACTTCAGGCAGACGAAGAAGGTTCTCGCATGCGGATTCGCATGAAGTTTAGGAGATGGCCCGTGCTTCAAGCATCAGAACAAGATTCCCAACTCCCTGATACCTAAATCCAACAGCCCCCACCTCCTCAGCCTCAAATCGAAAAACCTGAAATCGCTACGCTCTGAACCTCAAAGCCTCAAAGCCTAGTAGCTTCTCCCAAAGCCCTATCCCCACCCCAAGATCCCCAAACCCCCAAGCTTGGAAGGCTAAGCTGCCTGAAAGCTCTGCTCGGATTGGAAACTGCATACAAGATCAAGGTATAGATGCGGAAACGTGTAGGGCGTTTCCCATATCAGCATAAGCACGCATACTTCCACATGCACTCTTGCTTGAAAGATTATAAAGGTGGCCTGCATGAAGGAATCAAGCGGAAGGTACAGCATTTGGGCCGTGCTGAGGTCACATTTGCAGGAGTGACTTTATGCGTGCGTTTCGTACTCCATAAATCAATTTGTGGAGGAAGGAAAGGAGACGAAAGCCATGGGAAGCCATTCACTCAAGGTTTAGGGCCAACCCAAACTCAATAAGCCCTAATCCGCTGCGCCCAACACCATGACCCCGCAAATTCGTAAGCCCGGCATTTTGACGGCCTGAAGCATCCCCAACCATCCCAACACCCTACACCGAAAATCACATTTTGTTCTGTAGCTCAGGGTTGGTGCTGCTCCGCTAACGAGCCTGGCCCCATCGGTCTGGAGCTACCAGGGATCTTTGGCACGTTGAGAGGCTTTTAGAAGGGTGCGGGGTCGATAGGTTGGTATTGTGCTGTAGAAGGGTTCAATAAGGGCTCGCGTTTGAGGTCCTCAAGCCTTTCAGAAAGGGTCCTTCACGCTTGGGCCATGTTTCAGGATGATGGCTGCTCGATTGACAGGAAGCTTCAGGTAGAGAAGCATCCTGGTACAACCTGCTAGAAGGTATGTAACGATGCAAAAAGGTAAGGGAACCCTTGTAAACCCTCATAAAGACCACAAGAAACCCCAAACCGTTTGGCAGCTCCAATGACAGCTCAAATGACGAGGTCCCACCTCTCAGTTGGTTTACTGTGCCTACCAGCAGCAGAGCCACTTGGAGTAACGTCAACACTTTTTTTGGAGGATTCGGAGCTAAAGCGGTTGGGGGTTTAGGGTTTAGGACTTGAAGACGTCGGGTTAGGTTTCTGTCTGTTCGCGGTGCCATTTTGAAGACGTACAACATTGTTTCACATACGGGAGCATGGGTTCCGGGTTTGGGTTTCGGGCTTCAGGGTTTAGGGGTCCCAGCCCCTACACTAAACTCCGAAAGTTGAGGTCCTTTCCACTACGCTGTACCGTTACACCCGAAATCAGAAGCCTGAAGCCCTCAATTTACATTCAAAAGCCCCGAGGACTGACCCCGCGAAACCTCTCAAAACCGAAGCCCCGAAGAGCCACGCCTGGAAGATTCGCTTTTGTCCATAAGAGTATGGTCAGGGGAGCCCGAAAGCCACAGGTCTTTTGAGACGGTTGGGCCCTGACCTTAAATCTCCAAAGCCCGAGGGCACTAGGCCCGCTTACGGGGCTTCAGAGTTGGGTTTAGTTCTGAGGAGCTTTCGGGTATAGGGTTTTCTGCTTGTGGGGTGGGTTGGATTTCCGAGTTTTGGGTTTGGGCTTGTAATGTTTCGGACTTCTTGTTAAGACAAGGCTTCTCTAAACGTTCTGAGCACTCCTGAAGTTTTTTTTCGGTGTTCTGCAAGGCTTGGGGTTTCCATTTTACATGCTAGTTTAGGGCTCACGCATTTTCAAGCCTTGAATCTGAAACCGGAATCTCTCAAGCCCTAAATGAACACTTCGATGTATGGGCCTGAATAGTTCTCAATGCTATCCCCTAGGGTTCCCTTCAATCATCGCACCATATTATGCCCTAAGCCCCTGGTCTAGTTATTGGGGCCCTGACTCAAGCGCTATATAAACCTGCACCTGGAGCATGAAACCAAGTTTTGAAGCGTGGGATAACTACAAACAGTCTTGTCAGGGGTTCCTCATTATCCCCTAGTCTAATTGTGCGCGAATAATTTCGGCCCAGAAGCTGCCAACCTTTTTGAACCGACGCCTTCTAGGAGGATCATGGGACGTGGTGAGGTCAGGAGTACGCTGCTAGAACTGTGTATAATGCATGTAGTCACCACATGTGACCTAAGTCTAAGCAAGCCGGCTGCCATTTTTGGAAGCTAGAAAAAGACCTTCAGAACAGCAGACAAAGAGCTTCTGCTAAACCCACATTACAAGCTCACGTCCAGAAAAAACCCGAACCTGAAATTCTAGCCCCAAAGCCTTAAACTCGGGCCCTCAAAAACCAAATCTAAACTTTCATCCCGAAGCCCCAAGCACTAGGCCTTAAACCGGAACATCCCCGCCCTGCGCCCCCCCTTCACTAAACAAAGAGAACAAACGACGACCGGAGAGCCTTGTGCACGGCTTCTTGCAGACAACCTCAACCAGAGAGAGGTGATTCAGGTCTTCCCGGAAGGCCCGGCTCTGGGTTTGTCGGTGCCTTTTAGTCTTGCTCTGTAAGGGCTTGAGAAGGGCTTGTAGAAGTCCGTTTCTCAAAGGGTTTCAGCCGGTTTGACAGCAGTTTCAAAAGGGTTTTATAGGTGCCGCCCACGGAATATACCCTGGACTCAACTTCCGGACATCGGGCTGACTGGAATGATGATGGTGATGATTGAAACAATTCAAACACCCATGCTGGTGTTCATGATATGAATGACTGATCAATGATGGTATCGATGATATGATTGGTGGTAGCCTTGAAGTGAGGGTGATGACAATGACGATACTAGTTGTACTGGCGTACGGATGATGCTAATGGTATTGGTGAGAATGATCGTGTTGATAACGATTTTGCGTGGTTGTGGTGATGCTACCTCTTAACGACGATGACAAGCAACAGGACGATGATGATGATGGTGGTGATGATTACGATGTTGGCGATGCTGCTGCTGATGATGATGATGATGCTGATAGAGTAGTGGGAATGCTGCTGATGATGGTGATGAGGATGATGATAGTGATGATGATGTTGTTGATGCTGATGATGATGTTTATCCTGATATGTTGAGGTGGATTTTATGACACTGCCATCACGATACCATCGTTTTCATGACCATGGCACAAACATACTCGCCGCCTTTGTCGGCGTTTTTGTCGCGGTGGTGGTGGTCGTCGTCGTGGTCGTCATGCTCGCAGTCGTAATTATGCCAACAATCGACACAGCAACAACCGCCCTGCAGCAACCCGCCAGGATCCAACACCACGACCTTCGAAATTCCAGCGGTCCAGATCATGAACCTCAACGCTTCTTTCGGCAATTGGCGTCGAGGGTTCACAGATTAGGCTTGCCGGGACGATGTTTGTGTAGGGTTTAGGTCCTCGAAGAGTGTACTTGCACACGGTTTTCGTGCAGGTGACATCACTTGTCAGCTTTAGGGCGCCCTACCCTTAATCTGCATCAAATCCAATCTCCAAGGCGTTTTGCACTCCCATGTCCCCAACTGCAGCCACAAAGATCCCCCTGAAGCATGGGAAGAGTGGGGTCGAGACTTTAGGCTACCGAGTTTGGCTTTGGCAAACCCTGCTCCAGGTGGACAAGCCGTCCGTAGTTTCAGGGATGAATCCTGACCCATCCTTTGTGAAGGAACGGGTGCGACGTGCGGACGATGGCTTGAACTGTTTGAATGCTACAAGCTGCTTGGCTGCAGCATTTTTCTAAACCCTAACCCTAAACCAAATGCTCTCGATCTCGGCAAGCCCCTTATTCGCCAGAGGAAGTCTCTCTAATAGTCGGGCTCCCATCGGCTCCACTCCTCCTGCTTTCCTTGAGACCTTAGCGTAAAGCTTTGAGCCCTTGGTTTCGGCGGTGGTCTGGGCTTAGTGAGGCTTGGTCGACTCGTTGGATTCCGACGTTTCAGTCTTGCACACCTCCGTTGTGAGTTGTGCTTTTGTTTGGAGCCTGTCTGGCGGTTTGGGTTATGTCGGTTTCTATAGTCTAGCATGCCGAGAGTACAGTGCACGGCCCATCAAATTGTATTTTTTCGGCTTCTTAAATGAATGGATTCGGTCAGGGTTTGTTAGGAAAAAGTACGGATCGTCTTGCATCACAAAATTAAAGGATGCAAAGTAATGCAGCTCAAGGTTTCAGTGTGTTGCCTATGAACTTCTGAGGCTCCTCATGTAGATGAGGAAAACTCATTGTGAGCCATCGCGGGTGCCGGCATGGGTAGTCTTGTTTGCTGCCATCTTCTAGTGAAAGTGAGCACCAGGCTTGAAGTGCCCCAGAGCCGTGGCAGGAACCGCGCCTGGAGGAGAAATCCTAAGCCCCTCTTTTTGGGGTTTAGGGTTTAGGGTTTCGAGGTTTCATAGAACCCGTTTGGACCTTTGTAAAACCAATCGTGACGAATGGATGTCTCTGGGCCTCTTGGAAGTTGCAGTGTGCGGGATTCCCCGAAACATTTGTAAATACCTTGAACTTGCACTACAGTGCCAATGTCTACCCTGCATGTTTTGATTTGTTCCTGTTTTGAGTTAAGGTTATGGTTCAATTGACAAGTTGAGATCCCCACAAACCTAGCCTGTGCGTCCGCTCTTAGGGGAAAGGAGCCTGAATATCAGCAATGGTTAATGGTTATTCGCTGATTTATTATTGTGATGCTGCCAACCCAACTCCGGCTCTTCAAGCCTGGATGTTAAACTATCTTACTCTAAGCTGGAAGCCCCGGCCACGCAAGCCCTGAGCCCTGGCGACTCGAAGCGCAGGTCCGTTTCCAGTGGGGAACAGCACGACCACGACGACCATCGCACCCTGCTTCAGCGACCCCTTCGACTGCACGACCTATGCAAGTACCTTGCTCTATAAGGGCTACCATCAGGGTTGATATAAGACGGGTCTATTACAAGGGCTACTATACGTCTTCTAGAGAGGCGAGATGCCCGGGCTTTGACTACGATACTGTAGAAACCTACCACATCATTGCATCCTATGTTTAAGCCCTAAAGCTGATGAGACCTAGAATTTCGAGGGTTATCACCCCAATTAGGGTATCTTGATCCGGATCCGCGCATGGGTCTCTTTGAGGGTACCTTTCAGGATAAATTGACATGTCGAATCAACTGAGAGCCCTGCACCCGCTTTTACGACAAGCCAGAGATTGCCCCGAATTCTGAAAAAGCCTCTGAAGCTTAGCTGGGTTGATGGAACGAGATCAGGCTTCCGGGCGCGAGAATGATGGATTGTGGCTTAAGGGTACGAGGGTTTCGTCAGCGGTCATGGGATACTATATAGCCGATACAAACACATGAATACACAAGTAACTAAATTACGAATATACGTACAACATATTACCTGACAGTTTCTCTGCTGGAACTCAATAATATACGAAGTTGTACTGCATATATAGAGTATTTCTACATGATTTTATTCTTCGTTGCAGTACAGTACATTGTGCTTTATTATGCTATGTCATATTACGTGATCTTATCTACACCATATCATATTGACACCTCTATGTTACATGATACACATTAATGCAACGTAGTGCAGGTATATCATACATTACTATATTGTTTTGTTTATGTTTTGTTTAAAGTTATATTAGATACTGTATGTAATATATATATATATATCTATATATATATATATACAGATTGCATAACATACATGCATACATACATACATGCATACATGCATACATGCATACATGCATACATGCATGTGTGTATGTATACATACATACACACATGTAGACACATATGCATATATGTATATGCATATATATATATACATATATGCATATATGTATATATGTACATATGTGTATATGTATGTCATATAATATGGAGCACCTACGTAAAACACCAGCATCTTATGCAAAGCATGCAGTATATAATGTTGCATACATAGCATATGGCAACAATAAGCAAAAGATAGATCATCATATATATATATATATACATGTACATATGTAGGTGTACACCTACATACACATACAATAAGCAGTGTTGAAAGGACAAGATGGACAATAGAACACATGCTATAGAACACAGGAAATAGAATGTCGATTAAGACATATGCAGGCATTTCCAACAATGTGTACTATGTACCCAAAATTTAAGACATGAATATATCATGTAATAGATCTACATGTATGTATGTATATATATATATACAAGTCATATAGTAGAAGCCCAAAAGTTGGAAACCCAATAGCCTCAATCCGTAAGAGTAATGTAAAGGGAATCCCAGCACTATTTGACCTTTATCCGGTTTCCAACTTTTTGGGGTTTACTATAAATATGTTCCATCGGAAACAGATTTCAGAACATAGAACCTAGAATGTAGAGTATAAAGCATGGAATATATACTACATACTTATTGCACACAACATATACCATGTAGTATACATTACACAGTATATAACATCACATCAGTAATCTGTAGATAGACAGATAGGTATATAGATGGATAGATGGATGGATGGATAGATGGACAGATAGATAAATACATGAGACAGGGACATGATCAAATATACAAACGAGTATAAATACGCACGCATATATATATATATATATATGGTCAGCCCCCCCCCCCCATGATCTACCTCCGTCTTTCTTGGGTATGTAAAA